AGAAAAAACATATTTAAGGATTTAAATGAACTCAAATCAGCATTGTCAACTGCTTGGGATTCAATTTCAATTGAAACTGTTAACAACTATATTAAATCTATGCCAAGAAGATTTAAACTGTGCACTGAAAATGATGGAAATTTTATTGGTAATTTACTGTGATAACATTATTTTTTATTATTTAATCAAATTAGAACTTGAATTTTTATTTGACAGTGTATTGGGAAAAATACCAAAAAGTTGTTTTTTATTCTTATTTTTTTTAATTCGTCGACACTCACGTTTAGTATTATTTAAACACCAATTTGGTTGTTACACTTTATTATGGGTTTATTCTTGATAAAAATATGCCGTCGATGCCTTGTTTGTGGTGCGAAGTATCGTGTTATATGCAAATCAAATAACGGGATTGGGTTTTTTGGAAAAGCCTTTCCAATATTTCGACGAATTCCCGAAATTGTACGAAAATAATTGAACGGGATTGGTATTTTTTTCAAAATTAAGTCGGTACTTTCGATTTTTTGTTTTTATTTTTTTAGGAAAAAACAAAAATAAAAAACGGGACTTTAGGAAATTCTAAAAATATGACAATACCGACTTTTGAAAAACAGTTTACAAATGGAGTTAAACGGTTTGCATAAATTGTTTTTTTCAATTTAAAATACCAAAGCACACTAAAAACACCCACTATTGGAAACTTCAACTCAAAAACCTCTGAGAGAAGACATAATACAATGATTGAAAAAGAAAAAATGACATAATTGGAAAAACAAACATCAAAAATGTCAGAACAACTTGAGAAAAGAGAAAATGTGGTATTTTAAAAATGGGTATTTTGGTATCACAGAATGTACCAAATCACGGGGGAAATGGATATTTTGGAAAAAGAAGAAGATTAAAATATACAAAAAACAAAAACCACAAAAATGGAAATGGAAAAATATGAATGGAAAAATCCGATTAAATAAGGAAAAAACAATCCTCAAAATATACAGTTTTGGAAACAGGATTCAATGCAAATAACTTCATTCAATCTGAAAAAAAAAC